CCAGATTGCACAGCAGCAGTGCATCTTGTCTATCAAGGTTAAGCCCTAAACCCTAAACCCTAAAACCCTAAACCCCTAAACCCTAAAACCCTAAACCCCAAAACCCTAAAACCCTAAACCTCTAAGCGTAATGTCCATAAGCTCTGGCCGCCAGGTCGCCAGGCGATGGCGGCGTCGACGATCAGAAGCCCTGCCTCAGACGAGGGTAGTACTAGTGGGTTTAGGGTTTTAGGGGTTTAGGGGTTTAGGGGTTTTTAGGGTTGAGGGTTTAGGGGTTTAGGAGTTTAGTGGTTGAGTGCTTAGGGATTGAGGTTTAGGGTTTAGGGTTCAGGGTTCAGCAGCTCCGGATCGAGCAGTCTCATAGTAAAGTTACATTAACGGTTTAGACATATTACGCACCCCCCCCTGAATCCCACAACATCGGAAAATAAAAAGTTCATTCTTTTACATTAACCATTACATTCACCTAACCCTAAAGCCCTAAACCGATCAGATCCAACGAACGGTGGCCAGTGATTCGGCGGAACACGAGAAAAAATCGTTGGATTTGATCAAAAGTGATCAGATCCAACGAAGGATAATAGCGTATGAATACATGATGATAGAGAGTGTTGAGGGTTTAAGGTTTAGGGTTTAGGGTTCAAGGTTCAGGGTTGAGGGTTTAGGGTTTAGGGTTTAGGGTTCAGGCTTGAGGGTTTAGGGTTTAGGGTTGAGAGTTTAGGGGTTTAGGGGTTCAGGGTTTAGGGTTGAGGGCTGGTTTGCCGAGCTATTGTGTTTTGCTCTTGGAGATAATAGTAGTGGCAGCAGTGGCATCAGCATTGTTAGCAGTGGCGGCAGCAGCAGTACTAGTGGTAGTAGTGGTGGTAGTAGTAGTAGCAGTAGCAGTAGCAGTAGCAGTAGCAGTAGTAGTAGTAGTAGTAGTAGCAGCAGCAGTAGTAGCAGTAGCAGCGACTTAGTAGTATTGACAAAATAAGGACTGCTATTAGAAGCACAGAACCTGAAATATGAACAAAGCTATTCGCTGCATTATGAAGAGAAAAGGTCACGGAACTTGTGCTTTTGGGCAAACCCTGAATCCAAAAAAAGACCTGCAACCGACAAACCTAGACCCTGAACCCGAAACATCCTCTACCGACTTCCCTAAACCCTGAACCTGAAAAGAGTCTGAAACCGGAAGCCCCTGAACCCCAAAACTGAATCCGAAACCCGAAGCTCGCTTGGTGGCTCGGGCCCGGACATCCGACAGGGACATCCGAGGCTTTTTGCCCAACTCGGCGAGGGATGACATGCCCGCCATTCCGGTTAGATGTGCTCGAGGGTTGTGAAACAAGGGGTTTAGTGCTCCGTAGGTTTAGGGTTTCGTGTGTCGTCTGATTGCTAAACATAAACATCAAGATTGCTAGCATTCTCTTGCTGGCTGCAAGGCTCTGAATACTATGATGATTTGCAGCCTCGTTCCAGTTCTGCAGATTGCAGTAGCATGCGGTAGTCAGCACGATCATTGTTCACATTCCTGGCGTTGCTTCAATCCTAGCCCTGCTTAGCTGCTTGAGGCTAAGGGTAGAATTCCTGGCGACCCTATCATCTAAGGCTTTCCTTGGGGCATCCTGAGATTGTGGCTCTGTGTATTAGGGGAGGGCAGCGCCACCGACAGGCCATGCAAACCCCGGCCATTCCGTAAAGGATTGAACAGCACATCCTCTGACTTCAGGAAGAAGACATGGTTCGAGAAAGAAACGAAAGCCCCGTCTTGCTGACGGCCACACCCTGAAGCCATTCAACTCCTACGTACTCCGAAACTACAATGGGCCCACAGCATGCTGCAGCCCTACAACATCCTACAATCCCCACTAGGTCACTAGATGCCACAGACAACAGCTGGACGAAGCGTCGAACAGGAGAAAAAGCAAGAGAAACAGCCCTTGAACCCCCCTCTCCCATGGCCGGAGCCACCTGGACATCCTCAGTCCAGAAGACGGGCCTCTCGGGATAGATGCCGTTGTAGGTGCCTCTCAACAGCAGAGAACCGGCTCTCGCTCTCAGTCCCAGGAAACCCGGAAGCATCACATCCGAAAGCCTCACATCCACAACCCCGAACCACCGAAATCGGCCGAAATCGCCATGGCACCGTCGGAGGATCCACCCGGGAAGGCATGAATGTCCTCGGATCTGCCGAGAAATTGGGCCATCCCTACACCCGAGCTGCAAGGCGCGGCCTGAGAGCTTGCGGCTTGAGAGCTTGAGAGCTTGCGGCTTCATGGCGGCTGAGGGCTCAAAGAGCCAGGCCCTCTTGGCCAATGCGCCAAGCATCCAGCAGGAACTTCAGGCCCAGCTCGTTGCCCTGGGGCTTCAGGTTACGATAGGTCTACAACTAGGGCATTTCAAGAAGGGAAGCCTATTGATCTTGGGTCTTCGGTAAGAAGGAGGCACGGCCAGCTGCGAGTCCCAACATCCGCGTGAGCAACGCATATCGTCATATCGACATAGGAATGGAAAGAAGACTCTCAAAACTTACGAGTACGGAAGACGATCACATTTGCCCCTACCCAACGGCCATACATCTAGGAAGACTGTCAAAGCCCTACTTGTGCCGGTCTTGGTAACCTTCTGCAAACAATGGACGTAATCCCCCTGGCCCATGATCATGGTCTGAAGCAACAACATCAAAGGCTGCAAAGATGGAGACCTGCAACAGGCAACAGTGTCTATGACCCTCAGCGGATCCTGGATGAAGAGCGACTCCAGAAGATTTCGCGGGATGGTCGCGTAGGAGATGTTCTCGCCGGCCGGGCTCTATGGACTTTCGGGTGACACCGGGCTGACCGACGTGGATCACAACAGCTGGAACAGGCGTTCTGTACATGATCAGAGTCGTGTGGACATGTTTAAGGAAAAGGGGGTCAAAATCTCGGGATTCGGAGTCTTCAGGAGACGATGTGGGTTGGGCTGGGGGCCGTCTGGCACCCGTCGCCTTCCCTGCCAATTCAGACGTTCGATCTGTTAGGACAGCACCTTACGCTTTAAGTGACATGAAGTGCGACATCCATCGCTCTCCAAATCACGGGGTCCTCGGTGTAGTACGGGTCGGGGACCTGCCGTGCAGTGCAGCTTGAGTTCTTCTGCAACTTCAGAGTTAACCTGACTCTAATGCTGTGGGTGATGTACAGTCGCATTTCTTGTGGTTGGGGTCCCTTCCGGCTTTGGCATGATGCGAGTTTGATGACAATGAGAGGAGCAATGAAGAATCGGCTCCTTCCTCTGAATCATCGCGATGATGGGGCATGTCGGGACGTGCTGTACCAAGTTCTGCACCGCCGGACTGATGCCACCCAGCGGCAATCACCGTGTCCTTGTCTGGATCGTGCGAACCGTAAGCCTCCTTGTCCTCAAGGGGAGAGGCGGCTCATGGTCTCTGGACTGGTGCAATATCAAAACCATGTGTAGTTTAGTTTACCTTCAAATACAGAGGGCTTAGCAGTGTAGCAACCCATGATACACATGGGTAAACCACTGTCTATGGCACCCACTTCTCATCATCAATGCAATTTTCTGCTGTGCAGACTGCCCATATGTGCAATGCTACTTGGAACAACCGAATGTACTTGGGGGTGCTTGCTTGGCCAAGTGGCGATGACTGCGAGGGCATCTGCAAAGAGAGTCCACATGACAGGGATTCTCACCGTCTTGATGCCGATGTCTTTCATGGCCTCAAGCTCAAGGGGTGGCATGACAGCATGCGAGGAGCTTGTGAGGCAGGCGGAGACTTGCTCACGGCACAACACTCCTAGTCACCAATCTCTTTATGCTGAACCTTTGTCATGTATAAACTTCCGCAGTTCCCACTGCCGTGGCCTGCAGGTCACTGGGATTAATGAAGTCATTCCTGGCAAGATTTGCAAGATCTGTTGGGTTGAGAAGGCAAACACTATCTCGCACCCTCTGAAGTGTGGAGCACACTTTGATGTAATCGTGCCTGACCAGGGAACCACCCATCCAAATCGTTGAGTGTCTTACGAGACATGCGTGCTCGACAAATATACAAAGTGCCAGCAGCAAATCAGCAAACTGCTTCGGAGCAAGTAACTCCGGACGAAGACTATCAAGCTCCGGCAACCCGCCCCCTCGACAGCACACTCAGGCATGCACAACACTCTCACGGGCTCATACGCACTCAGCAGAGTGTAGCGACGGCCTGTGCGCCATGAACACCTGCGCCGCAAACTTCTTGCCATACGTTTTGGCAAGCCTGCCGGTCCACGGTGATCATGAAGAACCAAGATTATGGAAGTCAGGGGAGTTCCCTGGGCCAGGGTGCGGGTCCGCATTTGGCGGAAAAGGATCCTTATGATCTCGTCATAAAGATGGAGCAACACCCGTGAATCAGCTGCATGCCGACTGAACAGCACCACGATGCGAAGAGACGATGTTTCATGTTTGGCAGGAGGTGCAAGAAGACGATGCGCCGAGATCTCTGAGCTGTCGGCCGATGCGTCAGGACGCCCTCGGAAGGCCAAGGCTTCTCACCACCTTGGAAGAGCGAGCCGTGAGCCAGGACCCTGGAGCAGAATCGAGGCCCACACAGTCTAATCCTGGTCGAGTTTGCTCTGGAACCCCTCTCTATACACACCAACGCTAGGAATTGAGAGAGAGTCTCCTTTCCATCACATCCAAATGCCCGGAAACACAGAGACCAAGGCAAGGAGCCCTGGAGCAGCGGTGGGAGACAAGCACCCTGGCCTATGTTGTCGCTGGTGGACCTGGGTTTAAGGTTTAGGGCTGCAAGAAAAGGACAAGTAGCGATGTACCGAAACGACACATCCGAGCATTACAACTATGTCAAAGTGGCAAGCTGCATTGGGCTGATCTGAAGTGCTTCATACATAAGCTGTGGTTGTGTTTGCAGCAAACCTGCCCTCACGGCCATCTACTTATGTTTCATATGCCGCAGACATGGGCAAAATTGTGTGTATGATGCGGGACACACCTGCCACACTGCACTACTTGCTACCAAGACAGTTGCTTCCAAAGGCATGAAACACACAAACACCTGAGCATGCGTGTGTTAGTCTAAATATGCACATATACGACATGCGTATGTATGTATGTATGTATGTATGTATGTATGCATGCGTGCATGTAATGTGTATGCCTAGGGGGGAGAGAGAGAGAGAGCGAGATCTGCAATAAGCGTATGTACGTATGTATGTATGTATGTATGTATGTATCTATGTATGTATGTGCGACTTTTATATGAACGTGGGCTGACCGTCACCATTGCACATACATGCTTCGAGTTCTGAGTCTACAGCTGTTTGCTTCAATGAATTCGCACTCCGCTGTCCCACTCCTGTATTTGTTCTTGTTGGCTTTGATCCATATTCTGTTTCACGAGGAGCTGGAGAGAGTCGAAGCTGCTGCTTATGCGAAGCTCGAAGATGCAGGGCAAGAGAAAGAATTTTCGTTTCAGGGTTTAGGGTTTAGGGCTAGGGAGTAATGGGATTTATGGACTCTACACGAGGCGGCTGCCCGGGATCCCGGCACGAAGCGCCCGGCAAAGCCAGAGAAGAACCAGTCTTCAAGGCAGAGCCATCCTGGTTTATCGATACCCTCAGGGCTTAGGTATCGGGCCTTTCGGATTAGAAGCGGGAAGGCGTTTCGATGAAGCTCGCAGGTCTCCATTAAAACTGGGGCACGCTAACAGCACAGATCCACATCTTCTTACAGTGAGGTATCAAGGAGAAGCCCACCCGCAATCAAGCTAAAGGATGGTGTCAGCTCGACGCTGAAGATGTCCCTGCACGTCCTCCGAGGTTGGTTCCGTAGGGAGTGCCCGACCTCACGCGTATCACAGCGGCACGCAAGGATGCTGCGAAGACTTATCCGAGACAAGCGGCACGCCAGTGGCGTTCATTTCGGCACTGCTCCGAATCTGCATCAGCACCGCCTGTCCAAGAAAGGGGCTCATGCCCTGCGATATGCTCAGGTCAAGCCTCAACACCTCGGCCCCACAGCAGCGGTTGGAGGACGTATCAGCCCTCGGAAATGGATCAGGACGACACGGGGATCAGGTCTGTTCAACGGATCGGGGAATGCACGAAAAGGATCGAGACCTGCCTGGTCGGAGCAAGTTGTTGTCTGAAGATGACAGACTGGAAACTTTGTGGTGAAATTCAGACAAACTCTGCATGCGTGTTGGGTTAGCGGCCCAGTTCGCCCTGTCCGATTCGGATTGCATGCAAGCCGATTCGTGGGGTGCCCCTACAGTCTGGGATGCGATTGGTGCCTCCTCGATAGGATTGGCTGATCGGATTGGAGCGGCTGACTCACACGCGGGACTTCCTGATACCTGCAGCTTCCGCAGCGAAAACTCCTGTCATCGATGAAAACGAGAGCTCCGATGATGATTAGCCCAGAGCAGAGACATGCAAAACAACGATCTAAACGAAGGATAGCAGACCGCCTCTTCACCGGCTTTGCACTGATCTCCTCTGCGACAATTGAGCGCACTCTGCAGGGGATCAGCTCTGCAGCCAGTCAACTTCATGGTAGCAGCTGACGTTCCGAATTACAGGAGGACGGGCACATGCAAAATCTCATCGAATCTTCCAGTGGAAGCCCTGGTCCTGTGCAGGCTGCGGCTGCATAGGACAGCAGCCCCCTGGAGTGCACCGAATCCAACTGCACCGACCCTGAAGCCACCTCCGTGGCTCAGAATATTCCTCGCTACTGGAACAACGCAAGCACGTCGATCAAACCACGCAGCCCAAAACCGCCGGGGTGCAGAGAGCACGCCCATATCCTCGAAGGTCGAGACATCGCTGAGCTCAGCATCGCAGCGAATGCTATGCAAGCGTATCTACCCGCGCACCATCCCCACATACACCGAAGCGCAACATACCCTGGGTCGGCAACTCTGTTGTTGGGTGCTGGGGTTTAGGGTTTGAACCTGGAGCCCTGAATATGAGCCACGCGGCAGGCGGCCCTCGTGCTCCAAACGAGATAGATCGTGGTCTTGAGCCCAGAAGGGGGCCCGAGGTTGCAGAAGGACACTCCCCACTCCTAAATAATTACGAAAAAATCCCAACAAAACGAGAAAAGTCTGGTTCTGGTCGGTACTGTTGTCCCCGTCTTGATCTTCTTCTGGTCTTTTGTGTCAGCTACCAGTGCGGGCGCACATGGGTGCGCGCCACTGCTTGGTGAGCACGCTTGACACGAGCATGACCAGTACTACGCAAACTTTCTCAGTCTTCTGGATTTTACCTTCGAGTGCTGCTGCCAGTGTCCTTTTCTGCTCCCTGGCCTGGTTCTTGTTCTACGCAAACCTTGGCACTGCATTGTGATTGTTGAATAATATCATCATTGCGCTTCTTGTCATTATTATTTCTATTTTCTACTGTGAGCCTTTGCATGTTTAGCTCTTGTAGCCACAGCAGAGGAGATGGATGCTCATCGTGGTGGCAGCTGCTGCAGCCAACTGTTGCTACCCTCATGGCTGCGGCACTATCGCATGGACCCTTATGTTTGTTGCCTTTCTTCATGATGCTCTATGGTCGATCTCGTCGGTTGCTGTTGCTACGATCACAATCCCAGTCTTCTTAACCCTTCACAGACCCTTTTGGGTAGTTCTCTAAATTCGGGTCCCTTTCAGGGTCCTTTCTTTTTGCTTTTGCTTCTTGGCCCCATCGTCCAGCGGATACGCAATCTCCTCCAGGAAGAGGCCGTTTGGAGGCGCCAGTTCCATCCTGCCAAGCCGAGGCTTCTCACTAGGGTTTAGGGGTTTAGGGCAGGGGTATAGAGGTTTAGGGTTTTCGGGGCGAAGACGCAACAACCAGGGTTAAAGTTCGGACCCAGGGTGGATGGCCTCCGGGGCAGAGGGTCCAGACAATGCCCCGAAGGGAACCAGGCACTAAACATGTTGGGAAACAAATTCCCCAATATGTTCATTGCAGACTGCCCTTGCACCCGAGAATTGCATGGATGTACCGCGCCTTCCCTTAACCCTCTGCAAGGCATTGGCGAAGGTCGGAGAAGAAGCCTCGGACGGCTTGCCCCCATCATCGGATCCACATACCAACCAAGACTTAAACGGCAAAAATCGCTACCTCGCAGAGAGAGAGAGAGAGAGAGTGTGTACCACTGAAGGCTTGTTGAGATGCAGATACAGAGATCTCCACTGCCCCATTGTTGAAGGGATGCCGTTCACAACCTACTGCCACTCCTCCTACTCCTCCTCGCGTCTTCCATCCCGCCTCTTGCCCCTCCTACCCTGCTGCTGCCGGAGTTAATTGAGACGACGACGACGATGACATTGGTTACTCCTGTTCTGATTGAAACTATTGCTGCTATGCTCCGTTCATATTCCTTCTGTTATCACTGTGGTTCTCCTCAGTCTGTGACAAAAAGAAGGTTCGCTATCACGAATCCCATCTAACCTAGGGGCGTCCTGGAAATCAGCCACGCCGATCACCCCCCGCGCGGAGGCCACGAGGGCAGAGACCACAACTCGCGCCATCCTGGTGGGGAGCAGTGTTGGTGTTGCTTCCATAAAGGCTGAGTTTGAGGGCGGAAAGCTGTTTGGGGTGTTTAAGTTTAGGGTTTCCAAAGTCGTGAAGAAGGTCCAACATAATTGAACAAGGCTGCTAGGGTCCAGCTGAATAGAGTCTTGACGGCAGTGCTTAAAGTTTAAAGGCCTAGGAGCCACGTTACTAACCTGTTTGGGTCAAAGGACTCCAAGACTGAAAGCAATTAGTGCCGTTATTGTGTCGATATTGCCTGCAACACACAACGACTTTGTGCTGTAGCCAGCTTTCATGAGATCTTCAGATGTCACCAGGACGCTGACTCTCACAGAGTCAAACCATGAAACCGGAACTCGAAATACTTCCAGGTCTGCATCAAGGTTGCCTGTACAGGAATGCCTCGCACTCCAAGCGCACGCTCCTTGCTTGCTTGGGGCAACAAAGCAGCGACTTCGCTGACCCGGTGACAAGGTTCCCATGCCCACTCTGACGAAGCGACGGCGGACAAGCGAACCCGGAAACCCGAAACCCGAGGACAAAGGCGGCTCAGGCTCAGCTTGTTTGCCGCAGCATCCCAACTTGTTTGGATGAATAGCCTGGGCATGACCAACTCTAAGCTGGAAATCTGGCAGTAACTGATCTCTGCTTGGTGGTTTATGCATCCACTTGTGCAGCAATATCAGTGCTGTTGTTGCTGATATCGTTACTAACATGGTTTGTCTTGTTCCTTTTGTTGTCGTCGCTTCGGTTGCTGGTGGTGTTGGTGGCATCTTCAGTGTTGTGCTTGCTGTTTTTGGTGTCAGGAATCGTCCACTTCTTGGATGTCGTCGTCGACATCGTCGTCATCGTCGTCGTAATCGTCATTCTCGTCTTCGGGCCGGGTGGTAGTATTAGTACCGGGGACTGGTCGTTTTACCAGTTGGTAGCAGTGGTAACAGTCGTAGTAGTAGTCGCAATGGTAGTAGATGGGACGAGAGCTCTATGGTGGGCCGGGCTGCTGAAAGACGACTCAGGGAGACAGACACGCATACACACATATTGCGGACGGACAGACAAACAGACAGACGGACAGACAGCCAGACAGACAGACGTGCATGCACATAATCAAACATACACACATACATAAATGTATGCATACAGACATACATGCATACACATACAGACATAGTGCCCAAATGCAGACGTATGAAACGAAGGACTCAGCTCCACAGCAATCCGATACAAGTCCGTGCTCACAAGAATCCACACGTCAAGAAGTGCAAAGAACCTTGAAGCAGGAGCACCCCTGGGGCCAGCATATGCAGCTTGGGGCCAGCGTCGGCAACATCAGAAGAAACCCCGTGCCGAAGCCCTGGCATTCTCAGGCACCCGCCCGCCAAACCTCCCCCAGTATCCCGGCTCACGCTGTGAGGGATTGAACGAAGCCCGCCGCGGGGGAGCTTTGGTGACTGAGTGCAACATGTTGTGGCGAGAGGCCCCCTCGTGCTGCGACCTTTCTAGGAACATTGTCCGGCTGAGGTTGCAGCCGCTTTGTCAAGGATCCGTAGTAATCCTCGTCGAACTCATCCTGCTGCCAGGCCGCGCTGTCAAACCCCAGCACAGGAATGTCACTGATGTGGCATTTTTGGGCAAACTGCTCGTCTGGGCCCCGGATGCCATGAAGTATGAGGACAATGAGCTCAAGCATGTGTATGGCGCATGGAAGACAGACTGTCTAAGCCTTGAATCCAAGCCATTATCTCGAATCGCATCAAAGAAGAATGAGATCATCAATGAGCCCTAGCTGTTTCATCTTAAGCCGCATAACTTCCATGCAAACTAGTTGCATTAAGTCTTCGCAGCCCCAGCCCTGAATCCCAAACTCAAAAGTACGCCTGCACGTACATCCCGAAACCTGCACCAAGCAAGCTGACAACGGTGAGCCCTCAAGGTTTAGGCATGGTGATATTCCTGATTTGTGCGACTGAGGTGATATCTGGGCACTAGCAGCAGCACCAGCACCAGCACCAGCACCAGCACCAGCACCAGCAGCAGTACTATTCGTCGTCGTCGTCATCGTCGTGGTCGGCATCGCGGTCGCGGTCGCGGTCGTGGTGGCGGTCGCGGTCGCGGTGGCGGTGGCAGTAGCAGTGGCGGCGGCGGCGGCGGCGG